TAGACCAAATAAGCTTTAAAAAAATTAGAGTTAAGTTACAAAAGCTGAAAATATAAAAAAATGCAAAAACAGTGGCAATCTACTAATTGGGTAAACAAAAAAAAAGGGAAACAATGTCAACAATCAATCATTTATCTAACACGGTAGATTTCTGAATTAAAGGAATATCTATCAGAGTGTGAGGAGGCTGGTTGTGTTGGCAGCTTGAAACTACTCAGCTCAGACATGACCCTTTAACAGAGGAGTTTCTAACTTGGGATATTTAGGAAATTCACATGTGGCTTGTGGAACTAGCTGAGTTGAAATTCAGTCTTGGCACTGGATATAGTTAAATTAAACCTGAAAATCTCTTCCCAGGATCCTTACTTAAGCAAGGCCATGCCAAACACAACCTTCCTTGCAAGAGTTTTCAGCAAATAGCTGTGCATAGGAGTTATTCTGAAAAAATGTGAGCTGTAAGTAAATTGATAGGTTCAGAAAAAGAAAGAAGAAAAAAAAACTATAAAAAGTTAGATTAAGTGGAGCTGTTTTAGGGGGAAAGCAGCAGGTAATTCTGGCTTGCTTACATGGTATCACTCTTGTCCAAAAACATTTCCTCCTTCATTGCCTCTTTTCACTTCTAAGTTTGTTATACTTCATACTATTGTATTAGATAGTCATTTGGTTTAGCAGTTAAGTGCTTTCAAATACAAGATTATATATGATTCAGAAAGTCTTAATTGCCATCGGCTTTCACTGTATGTCCTTTTGTACAAATTGAGATTTTTAAAAAAATACATGTGGTTTTTAAAAATTGATTTCTAGACAGATAAGAAGGGAGAGGGAGAGAGAGATAGAAACATTAATGAGAGAGAAATATCAACATCAAACGGCTGCATCCTGCACACCCCCCACTGGGCATCAAGCCTACAACCCAGACATGTGTCCTGACTAACTGGGAATCAAACCGGTGACCTCTTGGTGCATGGGTCGGCGATAAACCACTGGGCAACACTGGCTGGGCCTGAGGTTGTTTTTTTTTACTCTGTACCTATATTGTTTATTTTTAAATATAGTAAGTTAAAAAATGCTTTTCTCGTAATATCTAGTTGAGATAGATTTCACTGAGGAAATGGGAACTTTGATTAGGGTAAGGAAAGAATAGTAACTTACAACAAAAATGTTTTGGGATAGGGCACATGGAAATATTTGGAGTTGGGGAGAACATGGCTAGGGAAAGCAGCTAGGAAAAGCAAATAAAGGGATACAGTGATACATGTAGGAGATGCCAAACAAGGGGACTTCTTTGAGAACTTCCCTGCATCACTATTGTACTCTAAATGGCACTCACTTTCTATTTTTTTAAAGCAGTTTAGCTACATTACGTAAAAAAATTGACTTGTGACCCTGACCTGGGGGGTATAACTACAAATTACAACACTATTTATATGAAAAATTCATTCTGAGTTCCACTAAATGATTTAAAAACATTTTGAAACATTACCCACAACCCACTTCTAAGATGAGGAAGGCATCCTATATAATAAAGAGCTAATATGCTAATTAGACTGGAGGGTGGAATGACCTTCTGGAACGACCAGTGGGTGGGGGATGGGGCCACAAGGCAGCTGGGGCCGCGAGGGCTGAGGCAGCCGGAGCTGTGAAGGCCTACTCTTGCACGATTTTTGTGCATCAGGCCTCTAGTATTTAACATAAGACCATCATCTCACAATGGATAGAAACTTCATTTTTCTCATGTCTATCCACCCATCATATTGCGTGGCACACAGAAAATACAGCTAAAAGGGTAAATGAGCTGAACATATGAACTCACTCGGTAGGCTCGCTGCTGCTCCGCTGCAGTCTCTGCGCCCGTCCTAGGGCAATACTGGCACGCCCATGACCAAGAAGTGGCTGCAGGCTCAGGTCCCGATGTGGGCCCCAGTCTGGATGGGGGAGGGGTGCACAGGGGGAGTCTCCACGGGATAGGCTTGGGCCACCGCAGCTGTGCTCGCCAGCCATGAGCCCAGCGTCTGGCACCTGTTAGTCAGCTGAGCAGCGCTCTCACTGTGGGAGTGTACTGACCATCAGGGGGCAGCTCCTGCATTGAGCATCTGCCCCCTGGTGGTCAGTGCACGTCATAGCTACTAGACGACCGGTTGGTCAACCAGTCACTTAGGCTTTTATATATGTAGATAAGATTGCCATTGTAGTGATAATTAGCACCTCTATCATCCAATAAAAGCCTAATATGCTAAGTGTCCGGTTGTCCAGTTAGCCGTTCAACCAATCAAAGTGTAATATGCTAATGATATGCTAAAGCTGCTCAACCACTCGCTATGATGTGCACTGACCACCAGGGGGCAGCTCTGACTGCGCTATGATGTGCACTGACCACCAGGGGGCAGACGCTCTGACTGGTAGGTTAGCTTGCTGCTGGGGTCCGGCCGATGGGGACTGAGCAAAATGGGCTGGACATGCCCTGGAGCCCTCCCACAGTCCCTCCCCTGCTGCCCAACCTCTCACGTCCCACCCAAGCCCCAATCATGCACCGGTGGGGTCCCTTGGCCTGGCCTGCGCCCTCTCGCAATCCGGGACCCCTCAGGAGATGTTGGAGAGCCGGTTTTGGCCCGATCCCGGAGGCCAGGATGATGAACCCCACTGGTACACGAATTTGTGCACCGAGCCTCCAGTGTTACATAATTATCATTTTTTCTTAGTGATTGGAATAATTAAGCTCTAGACTTAGCATGTTTGAAGATTATATTAACAAATATTGTTGCCTATATTCACTATGCATTTAGAACTTATTTGTTACTTGTCTCAAGTTTCGGACCCTTAGACAACATCTACTCTATCCCCCATGCTCTATCCCCTGGCAACCAATATTTTATTCTGTCCTTTTGAGTGATTTTTTTTTTAAGATTCTACATACAGACAGTCCTCAGGTTACATCAGACTCGACATACGTCGTTTCGTGGTTACGTCACCATCTCCCATTTATTTATAAAAAAAAAAAGTTCCGTCATTTTGACGTATGTACATATATGTGCTTTATGTTTTTTATTTATTTACCACAAGTAAAGGTCAGGAATTGTTATCTTTCTTTTAGAATGGATCTCCAACATAACCCAAGGACCTACTGTATAAGTAATATCATACAGTATTTGTCTTTCTCCACCTGACTTATGCCACATAGCATAATGTCTTTGATCTCTACCCATATAGTCTCATATGAATTTGAGGACAGGCTTTTCCATTTTTGGAAAAAATGATGGGATTTTGATAGTGATTATAATAAATCTGTAGATTCATGTTCGGTGGAGGTAGTAACATCTGTAGATTCATATTGGGTGGAGGTAGTAACATCTATTTTTTAAAAAAAAATATTTTTATTGATTTCAGAGAGGGGTAGGGAGAGAGAGAGAGAGAGAAACATCAATGATGAGAATCATTGATCGGCTGGCTCCTGCATGCTCCCTCCTGGGGATCAAGCCTACCACCTGGGCATGTGCCCTGACCAGGAATTGATCCATGACCTCTTGGTTCATAGTTTGACACTCAACCACCGAGCCACACTGGCAGGGCATAACATCTTAATGATATTAAATGTTCCTACTCATGAACACAAAATGTCTTTCCATTTGTTTAGATCTTCTGTAATTTCTCTCAGCAATGCTTTGTAATTTCAAGTGCATAAGTCTTTCATCTCTTTAGCTACATTTATTCTTAGGTATTTTATTCTTTTAGGTGCTATATAAATAAATGCTTCTTTAATTTCCTTTTCAAACTGTTCTGCATGTACACTGAAATACAACTGACTTTTGTGTGTTGATCTTATACCCTGTAATTTTGCTGAGTTTATTATATCTAGTATCTTCTTGTGAATTCTTTGGGATGACCTATATATAGGATCATGTCCTTTGCAAATAGAGTTTTATTTCTTCCTTTCCAATTGCTACTTGAAAGCTCACTGATATAGGAGCTATTCTCT